GGGTGGGGCCAACTGAATAAAAAAAAAAATAATAAAAAAAAAAAAAAAAAAAAAAAAAAAAAAAAAAAAAAAAAAAAAAGAAAGTAGTCTGACAGTCAGTTGCTGACATTCGGCTATTTCTACTGTAATTATCCTTTATTTAATCCTTTAAGCTTGGCTGTCTACCCCAGCAAAATAGAAAAACAAACACCAGTAATGAATGCCACTCAGCAGCAGATAATACTTGCTGAAGCAACAAACAGTATCAAGTAACTAGATAAATGAAAAGTGACTTCTTGATGAATAGGTACACAATATCTACATACACTGTATAAGGAAAAAAAAAAGAGTCAATAGGCTTTCATAACAGATTTCTTCTCATCTTCAATTCACTATTTGTTGTACTTTGCTTTGTGCTAAAGGTTGTACTGGAATCATTTTTATATATATATTATATACACACACACACACACACATATATATACACACATTTTATATATATATATATATATATATATATACACACATACATACATACATACATATACACACACACACACACACATACACACACACTTTTTTTTTTTTTTTTTGCTACCAACCACACCTGGTTATGAACTGGCAGCTCCCCTTCATCAATCCCTCATTAGCTGCAAAATTACAGAGGATAAACACAAACCCAAGCCAAATATATGGGATTCAAGCAAACCACTGGGCTGGACTGCTATGCAGGATTCCAGCTACAGTTCCTAAAGCCATAGCAGGCTTCAGGTGTCCTCCCTCAAGAAGTAGGCAAACAGATTTCCAGGCTGGACAATTAGAAGTTTTTGTAGCTGTTTAGCTGCAATAATATAAAAAAACTGAACACTTCCTTGAAAAATCTGTGAAGATCCCTTCCAGCCCTACCAAGTACGAAACGATGAAACCTCTCCCAAGGCCTCACAGCCTTATCTGCATTGTTCTCCAGATAAAGATTTACACCTACTGAAAACAATAACTTAGAATTCGGACACTGCTTTACCTTTTCAAAATGCTTTACCATGATTAACACATGCAGTATATAATGTTCTCCAGCACATAGGACCCAATTTAATTTAAGTTCTGAATGCTACACAACAAATAACCTGTTTGAAAGAACTATTAGGAGCCAGTATAAATCAGACAGACTTCCAAGACTGCTGTTTTCTCTCTCATTTCATGTCAGTCTGTAGGCAAGCTCTCGTCTGACTAGCTTCACAGGACACTCCTAGTTTTAAGAACTGTTGCCTTATAGACTGAGAAGTGGAGTTACTGGATCTCCATCTGCTCCCAGGGGTAAAGAGGGTGCAGATGAAGAACATCTGCAGAGAGTATTGGTCCAGGTGAGCAGCAAGTATGACAATTTTCTTTTGGTGTTTGTGTTTTTCAGTACTGAGCTGGATGAAGAAAACTCTTCCTATTTCACATGTTCAAGGAAGAGAATTCTATTTTATTTATTCTGTCTTGTTGGATATAAACACCCTAACTCAGTTAAATCATACCAAGCTGATGTGAATTATTTAAAGAAAAATCCCTCAATTATATGGGAGGAAGACACTTGCTGGTGAACTCCTAGGACAACTGTGGAAACAAGTGACAATGTTGTTACTCTCCTCGGAAATACCTGGGTCTGTGCAGTAGGGGGCAGAGGAGATGGTAAAGAGCAGCCCTCCGTTTTACTGTGGAGTGCCCACAGTAGTGTTGTTCCTCTGCAAATATCACTTATTGGTGAAATATTACAACATCATTTCAAGTGAACTACTAGTGCAATTAAACGGCATGCTTTACAACTAAAAAGACCATTTTACTGGATAAGAACAGTTCTTTACTGAATAAGGAGCTCTTTGCATTATTCCTTCACATCTACAAAAACAAAATCAGAAGGCCTGAAGGCATCAACATCCCTTTCAATAGCATCATGCTCTTCCTCTATGCAGCAGACTGCATTGAAACCTGTATCATCCTCATTGACCGGACTGACCAAAATTACCAGTCAACTTTTAGAAGTCTCTTAATTATTTTATTTGAAAGATTCTCTCTTTTCAGCCTGTTTCAAGAATATGTGAAAAATCATCAAGTTCACTTTCAAAACTAACCATCTAGGAAGGCACATCAGTAACAGAATTTGCTGACCGTTCTAAAGTATGCTTTAAAACAAATTTCAAAACCACTCTCTCCTTTATCTACTGCACTAGTCAAAGCATGAAGGGTTCCTCTCCTCAGAGCTTGCATGTTAAGAAGAAACCGGATTTTCCATTTTAAAGTCAGTCATTTATTACAAATTGTTAAAGGGCAAGTCAGTCATAATAAGCCATCTCTAACTAAAATCACAGGATAAACTGGGCTGGAAGGACCTCAGGAGGTCATCTAGTCCAAACCGTACTCAAGGCAGGAACATTCCTAGCAAAACCATTAGAGCCAAATATTTGTTTAACCTCCCTAGGTAATCTGTTCCAGTGCTTAGCTATCCTCATACATTTAAAAAAAAAAAGGGGGTTTTCCTAGCATCCAACATCAATTTCCCTTGTAGTTTAAGCCTACTACTTCTTGTCCTGTCCTTGGAGACAAAGAGAACAGTTAATTACCATCCTCTTTATAACAGCCTTTTTTTTTTCTATTTGATGACTTATCAAATTGCTCTGCGTTCTCTTCTCCTCCAGCCTAAATAATCCCTGTTCTTCCAGTCTTGGGTTCTATGCCACGTAAGTCTTATTTACATACCAATTTATTAAAACAATGAGTTTTTAGAAGTTTTTCTTCTTCTTCAATTATTTTCTGAATTTATTTTACCACAGAGAAAAAGTCAGTTTTACTTCTTCCATGCACACAGTAAAGTAATGCTTGGGCTCCACATGTCACAAAGGATAGGACATCCTTTTAAAGTTCATGGGAAGATTTTAACTGTCTCAACTGCAAAAAGTCTTTTCAAGTGTATTTTTAACCAATTTTAAGCAGACCATATCCCTATAGTTGAGAGTCCAAATGTGATTGGTGTTTCTTTTAGTTTTTAAATTAAATAACTTCTGGACGGTACCAGTAATGTCTCTTGTCATTTTAATGCAGAGAAATGCTGGTCTTGGAGGATTCTGTTTATTTTCTTTTTTCATAAGTAGCAGTACTAGCAGTTCATTTACAGCTTCTGCCAAAACAACACAAAGCTACATGTACTTAGCAAAACTATCAATTGTGTAAATGTTACATTATTTACACTAATATAAGACAACCTTGAATACAGGATGACCCACAAGTAAATAGGTTCTATATATGGAAAATTTATAAATTTGTTCTAATTTTCCAGGTATTGAAACTAATTATTGGAGGTTTGCCATGAATTTGGCCCCTTCCCACAGCTACAGCAGGGAAGATAAATCAAGTGGGGAGGAGAGTCAGGTACCTCCTTGCCCTCTGCTCCCCCAACTTCTGCCCAATGCAGCCCCTTTCCCACCCCCCTTACTCTCAGACCCTTCTTCTCTCCCTGAACACATGAAAGTGAGGGGCAAATCTGAAAACACTGACTTTGAAATAAACACGCTTTGAGTAATATGCATATACACAAATTACTATGGATACCCATAGACTTAATTCATCCAGAATTGAGGTATTTTACCATTTTTGAAACTGCTGCAAGTTTTAGCATGCATACTCCTTAAACACACTTTTAAGCAGCACTTTTGTACTGACTTTAGTACATACTATATATGTTATCAGTCCAAATGGAGCCCCAAACAGATCACCTGGAAGCCAAAAGGCTTCTAGATCCAAAGCCAAAAGATGAACCATATAGTTCACTGGGCTGGGCCCTACAAGTCAACAGCATATCAAGGCATGGTGACCCCACAGCTCAAATGTATTCAATGTAGTAGCTCACAATGACTTGAAAAGGGTCAGCTCTAACGGGGACTGAGTTCAGTGGGTGCTATCACATAACCTATGCAAATGGGCTGTATTAACCCATCCTCGTGCTAGGTTCCCATCAGCATCTTGGCCTTCTGGTAAAGATCAAGCACTGATGGCACCAAGGGGAAGGTGTCAGGACTGGCTCTGCCCCCCTCAGTGCTGGCCTAGTATTGCAGTACCTTCAGGACTGTTGCCAGTTCCCCATGGAGGGAACACCCACCCATTTTTAAGGGCCAAAAAGGTCCCCATTAGTATTTTCACCTACTATGGGCTTTATAGTCATGCTCAATGTTGACTTTAATGAACATAATAGTTGGTTTACATTACTGAGCATATGCTGCTTTTGGCAGCAGTGTAATGACAGACGGTGTATTTAATAAGGTTTCCCTGTAGGCAAATGCAAGATGAGGGACTTTCTCCCCATACTGTCTGAGGGGGAAAAAAAAAACTTACCTTATATTAGAGTAAATACAGTATTTTATTATATGTATTTTTATTGTTTTGCTTTGGCAAAAGCTGTAAATAAACTAATACTATTACTTCTTAATAGTAGGAAATACCATCTCTTTACAGCACCACTCTCCTCTGGAAGCCCTTCTTGTTTAGCAAACTTAAAAAAAGAAAGGATAGTCGTGTTCCTGACAGAGATAAAATTGATGCATGTTTTTATAATTCAACAAGAAATCATTATTTAGAATTTTTTGCATTGATGAAGAGCTTCTGCATGCACCAAGAAATAGCATTTCTACTTCCCATTCTATTTTTCTCCTACATGTACATATAAATCAGTCTAGCAACACTACTGGAAAGCATCATGCCATGTTTTGTCAAAGCAGGTGATAATCCTTAGTAGGAACCTGCCTAGTAAAACTCAAATAAGCAGGGAATACAATCTAATTTGGCTGAATTTCTATTTGTCTTTACAATCCTTTGCTAAGTTAGGTATATCGAAGAATACTGACCATCTTTAGAACAAACCCAGTGGGGCAGGCCTTGCCCTAGGTTATAAAGCTTGCTGAGAGCACAAAGTAGCTATATATAAAGTATAGTATAAAATAAGGGGCTGGTTGTTAGAAAATCTTTATGGTCCTGATGTGCAAACGAAGTGGGAAACAATTAATGGTTTGAAAAGAAGGTTCCTCTGCCATCTCCCTCCAAGCAATTAATAACTGCATAATTTCTGCAATAAGCATGCATATCTGTATCTATATAATTTTATAAGGGAGCGCCAGATCTACATATGCATACTTGTATGTATGTGTGTATATATATTACAGAAACTATGCAGTTATTAAGTGTAAGTGTGTGTGTGTGTGTGTGTGTGTGTGTGTGTGTGTGTGTGTGAATAAAAGTAAGTAAATATACTTACTTACATGCCAGTCACCTTTAACTAGGTTTCAGTGCTTGGTTTTGTCAAATGTAGTTCAGTCAGTAGAGTTAATTTAGGTTCTCAGATAGTTGGTCTTAGGAGTGGCTACAAATATGATCTTGTTTCCTGTTCAACAGTAATCCCTCTAACTTTACAATTCACCGGTGGTTCATGAGCAGCTGGATTATGGAACTGGCTTGCTTCCCTAAGTTTCCAGGCTTTCCAGTGTAAAGAGGAACTGAGAGGCCCATGCAAGCACCTGGAAATTAAGAGCCAGTATAGCTGTCTTTGCAAAAAGCCACTACAACGGAACAGGGGAGCAGATGTTAATAACAGACGACAACTTTTAGGGAGCGCGTTACCAACAGGAGAGAAATGGGACAAACAACCAGGCAGCATATCTCCACAAGAGCCAAAGGAAAAGTAGAGCTAGTCAGCAGAAAAGCATGGCCAGGGGCAGGGAAGCAGCCAACCAGCAGAATATGATGTACAGGGGTAAGAGAAGCAACACACACAGAGATGTCAGGAAGTGCTACAGCGTAGTGTGAAATTAGGAGGGATGGTATCTACATTTCTGAGCAACAAAGTTATCACATTGTATACGTTTAAGGACCAATTAAACCAAGGCTAGAAATAAGGGCTCTACTCCCATGCCCATGACTTGCTGGATGTCTCTTGAACTTTATGACTCAGTTCACCTGCCCCAGAAAAGCAGGCCTGTCCACATTTGTAAATCCTCAATATCTACTGAGAAAAGACACCGGGAAGCAGTAGCACTCTGTTATTAAACGGAAACATTTAACCACATTCTTGTTCTTAAAAAGCTCATATAAATAACATACAATTAAAGGAAAATACCACACACCTGCAGGATCAAAAGGCAGAATTTCTCCCAGCATCCCAAAGACTCCATCACTTTGGTCACGGTTTGGCCACGTGTTATTTCTCGGTCCTTGAGGTTTCTGTCCTAACATCTCTGTCATCATATTGTCCATATAGGTGCTCACAAGACCCAAGCTGTACAAATCAGAGCTCAAATCCGAAAAGCCATGATTGTTCCATTGGTTAATATGAGACAATCCAGCCCCAACAGCCTGTGCTGGCTGTTGTGAAGTATTACTTAGCCACTTGCCAGGTACACGCTGTTGCTGTGGCCCAATAGGTTGGAGCAGATGTTGGTAGTACTGCATCTGTTGTTGCTGCTGCTTTTGAGACTGCTGTTGCTGTGACAACCCTTGCTGCGATGGATGCAGAGACACATGAGACACAGACTGCAGTTGCTGCTGAACAGCTCCTGATTTTTGTTCTGTTGCTGGAGAAGAAGCAACAGAGTTCCTTCTTTTCACCAATGGAGAAGTCTGCTGCGATTTGCCCATGTTAAAACGAGACAGGAAGTCTATAACATCCTGCATTTCCTGGTCAGTGGGTAAATTCATACCTTTGTCATCCTTGCTATCATCTGCTTTGAAAAAATTATCATGTCTTTCAACAAGAAATCCATTAACTATCTGACTACTTGTGCTCTGAGGTGGCTGTAATGTATCTATTGTTCTGGGGAAATTACCAATGTTCAAAATGCTTTGTAACCGTGTGTCCATGTGACTGGGCATTTTCACTTTCTCCTCTGAGTTGCTACCTGTAAAGATATTTTTGGAAGGCGTACTGGGAATAGAATAACTTCCACTGTTACTTGAACTGGCGCAGGAAGTTTTCTTTGTAAACCGTGAAGTCAGTTTTGAAAAAGTCTTTTGCAGGCCTCCTGATGATTTGCTTCCATTTCCTGATGGCATGTCAACTTGATTCCCAAAGTCCGAGATCTCCCGCTGCAATTGGATCTGAATACAAGGCAAAGCTTGTTCCCTGTTGCAAAAAACAAAACCTATTTCAAACCTCTGGGTTAAGTCAGAGCTGTTCGACTGGTGGTACGTAGGCTGCTTGCAGCCCACAAGGAGTTACACTACACTCCCCTGAGCTCCTGCCTGGCTAGTGCTCCCTACCATGCTCCAGCTGCAACAACAGCCAGAGTCTCTTGGTTCCACCTCCCTCTTTTGGCTTCTGCTGCCTGCCCCTGCTCCAGGGGCAGGGCAGTGCAACACAGCATAGCTGAGGTCGGTGAGGGTGAGCCATACAGGTACATGGTGCAGAAGGGGACACAGGCACATGGTGTAGCAGTAAAGGGAAGGAGGGCCTGTGCAAGCATGCAATGCAGTAAGTAGTAGGGCAAGGGCCATTGGCATGAGTGTATCAATATCAAGTACTAGTGAGAGGAGAATGGAAAGAGAAAACACAGTGCTTTGCCCAAGACAAAGATCATTACATTTTTTTTTTCTGAGACACGTGTTCAAGTATGG